GAGGATTGAGTTTCAAGAAGCTTCTCAAAGCAAGAGCTTTATATGGGAGATTAGTACTCATGGTACTAGTAGCACATGAAGATTTTGAGGGAGGAAATATTTTTTTTGTTTGAACATACAATAATATTGCTTAAAATATGATATTTCAAAATAAAGCATATGTATATTTTCAGATTGTTTGCTTTCAAATCCTATGAATTAGAAGTTGACTTCTAATTCACTATATCACAGCCACTGAGCTGTACTCTGGTATTGTGATTTGCCACCTCTTTATCCTGCCTTTTACCCACAAGCAATGAATGTGATCAAAACCCTCATGAGACCCATGCAAAGCATTGTGGAATTTGGAGAAAAAGAAGCAGCACAAGAACATTTTCTAATGTCCTGTTGTGAGCTGAATGCTGCGGGATACTTGAGGCTGCTTTATGTTAAGAATTGAGGTAAAGTATGGTATTGGGTGGACTAAGGTCTTATAGAGTTTCTTGGTCTAGGTGGTCGATGTTGAAACAGACTTCTCTTCCTTCCTCTCCTCCAACTTGTATAGTGTTCGGCTCTGGGATAGCACTGGGTTGTGGAGCTGTCTCGAGAGCTTCTATGTGAAAAAGAAAACATGATCCTGGGATGCATTAACAGGAGTGTTCTAAGCAAGACACGAGAAGTCATTCTTCTGCTCTACTCTGTGCTGATTGGGCCTCAAATGAAGTATTGTGTCCAGTACCACCTTTCAAGAAAGATGTGGAGAAATTGGAGAAGGTACAAAGAAGAGCAACAAGAATGATTAAAGGTCTAGAGAACATGACCTATGAAGGAAGACTGAAAGAATTGGGCTTGTTTAGTTTGGAAAGGAGAAGACTGAAAGGGGACATGATAGTGATAGATTTTCAGGTATCTGAAAGGGTGTCACAAGGAAGAGCGAGAAAAATTGTTCTCCTTGACATCTGAGGATAGGACAAGAAGCAGTAGGCTGAAACTGAAGCAAGGGTGGTTTAGGTTGGACATTAGGAAAAACTTCCTAACTGTCAGGGTGGTTAAACACTGGAAAAAGTTGCCTGGGGAGGTTGTGGAATCTCCATCTCTGGAGATATTTAAGAACAGGTCAGGTAGGCTTCTATCAGGTATGGTCTAGATGGTACTGGGTCCTGCCATGAGGGCAGGGGACTGGACTCGATGACCTCTTGATGTCACTTCCAGTTCTAGTGTTCTATGTAAGCCTTGAATAATTAAATAACTCACCCTGTTCCTTAAATTAGACAAGCTATCAATCCCTGCTTATCCCCAAATAGGATCAACCTCGGAAGTAAAGACAATAAGGAAGTGTATCATGTTGCATAAGACTCCATGTCTAAGAACAGTGAGATCCAAAGCCAGGAGTTCTTCTCAAAAATAGAAAATAAAATGGCTAAATAAGAGTATTGTTAATTGCCTAGGCAAGAATCTCTTATGATTTGCATATGAACAAAATCTCATTCTCTCTCTAAACCTATTTAACCCTTCCTCCTCCAGACAACAAGCATAGTAACACACTGCTTTCCTATAATTGGCAGTCCATTGCACACTGGTAGAGAATAAAGAGATGGGTGGGGAAGCTCTGAGTTATACAGAGTAGCAGTAATTTGCTCTGAGCTTGTAGGTCTTTTTACATATAATCAAAGACTCTATGAAGTATATCCATCAAATATTGGAAGATTGGCAGGGATTGTGTTGGTTTTCATGGTAAATAATTGTGGCCTAATAGGAATTGTATAGTACAAGGAAGAAAGAATGTTGAACGGTATAAACCAGGGCTTAACTTTCAATTATTAAAAGAAATTGCTTAATAAGTGGGGAAATCCAACTAATAATGTGGTCTGCCACTGAAATACAATCCTTGAAATGAATCAAATATTAAAAAGCCTCCGATAAAAAAAGGATTGAAGAAAATTGTGATACACCATCTCCATCTACTGGATACAGATGGAAGCAGCAGAGAAACAGAACTGAAATCTGAGCACTCAGTTGAGAAATGTCCAATTACATGTTGACCCCTCCTACGGGGCTCACTGGGGATCCCACAGTTAGCTGAACCCAGGAAGTTGCAGATGCCTGGACTAGCTGTATGGAAAGGACTCTTCCCCATTCCAGGGCTAAGAGGTTAAGAAGTGGCCATATTTTGTTTCAAAGATTGTATGTTCCTTTCTATTCTTTAATAATAGTAACTGTAGAGAATAGTGCTAAGTCAACGTATTAGAGAATTCTCAAGTAACCACATTTTAGATGTTTCAGTCTAAGCAAATTGGCATAACTGAGATTTGAGCCATAACTTCAAGCAATTGCTTTTGATGGTCTAAATTTTTTCCTTTGGGACTCATCCATTCAAACAGCACAGAAAGTAAACATTCAAAAGTTCCTTAAAAACAAGTACATTCTTCTCCTCTGGAGAAAATCTAGGAAGGTGATAAATGGGGACGGTACTAATGAACTGATCATCATAAATAACTATAATAAGAAATGTTTGTTATTTGAATTTGCTTGTTATAT